AGTTCCAGGTCAGTCTCACTACATTAGTGAGACCCTGTCTCAAAAAACCAATAAATAAATAAATAAATAAGGTTTCCATGTATTTCAATCACCAAAACCTATATATTGTAGGGCCGGGATTTAGCTCAGTGGTGCTACTGCCTGCCTCACAAGCGCAAGGTCCTGAATTTGACCCCTGTTACCAAGAAAAAAAAATAAAACCTATACATTGTACTATCATCATTTGTAACATGAGTACTTTAAAAATACATAGGGCTTTGTGGTATGCAGGGAAATTAAAATTTTCCTGCTGAGCTAAAACAATAGCAATTGAATATTTATACTCACTGTACTATTTTATTCTTTTAAATTGTTCAAAAATATTGAGCTATTTAATGCCCCAGCAGCTAATATATCATCTCTCTCTTATTAATTAGGAAACTGAAGCACAGATGTAGAATTTGCAGAATGTGAAATATGTAGGAAGAATAATAGAAGATATTTGAACTTAGGTTTGGTCTCCTATCACTTACCTCAATCTTCTTCCTACCAAATCTGTGTCAGCAAATCAAGTATCACCCTAAGTGACATGAATATTTCCTGAAGAAAACTCTAAGCTGAAGAGCAAGAAACAGCAATTACAGCAAAATTCATAAAAGAACTAAGACGGTAAAGCCAGAGTAGTAGGAGGAAAATAAAAGAGTAAAACTGTTGAATGCAAAATAAAACTGTGTGCAAAGATAATAAAAAGAGTAACAACATTTGTAAAGAATAACGGTCTCATAATTGATTTAAATGTTGTTAGCAGGGTTGCGGTGTAGCTCAGTGATCAGAATGCTCCGTTGCGCGTATAAGGTTTGGGGTTTGACAGTCAACCCCACAAAAAAAGTAAAAATGAGTAAAATTCTGCTGGATCAGATGGCATAAGGATTGAAGTAAAGTGTATCTTATGAATTAAAGTTAGTGCTAAAATAGAGACAGACTCAAAGTCAGGGCTCAAAATGAGTAGGGAAATGAACAATTTGTGTGTTAAACAACGGCAACCTCAATAAATAGGAGACAAGAGAACGAAAATATAATGTTCTGAATAACAACTGGAATGTGGGAAGCACTAATCAATGCAAACTCTTTGCTCATACATTTACTTTGTAGATAAACTCGGGGCAAGGAGGGCAGTTAGAAGAAAACGAGTTCAAGACGTGAATGGAGACCTGCGAGTGTGTTCATGTCCTGAAGAAAATGCATTTTTAAATGGAAGTAGCTATCCACATGTGAGGGCGGTCACTAATAGAATGAAGACTCTCAATACTGCCTTAAGGGAGAAAACTGTACCCAAAGCCTATTCTAAAATAGCTTTCTCAGGAAAGATTTTACTAAGACAAGAAAAGCAGAGCTTGAATTCCTTTATAATATGTTTAAAAATCTACTGTGAATACTTCTGCAAGATGAAGTATTGGAAAACAGATGATTTCAGAAATTTGTTTTAATTACATTTTTTAAAATTTTCTGCCTTTGCTACTACTGATTGTTTTGTACTGTTGCCGTCTTTTGTATGAGTTGAATCATTTATGATGTATTTCTCATTGTATTTGTTTTGAAGATATGTGTCTGTAGTATACCAATTCTAAATGAATAAATAGATTTTAAAATATAAAAATGAATGGGAAGAAAGGAGCTAAAGGTGTAGGGAAGGTGGGACGGGTAGGGGAAGGGTAATAAGGGAAAAGAAAAAATGTGAGATAATGAAAAGCTGAAAATAAAGTGTTTGTAGATGGGGAGGGGAGGAGGGGGGTGAAGGGAGGGCAGGGGTAAGGGGAAAAAATGAGAATCAAGACTTGTCATATAGAGGTACAAGATCCCAACAATGAATGTAACTGTACTGTATCCCTAAAATGTACCAAAAAATTCAATAAAAGCTGAAAAAAAAGAAATATAAAAATGATCCAAAGAGTCTAAATATTCATGACACGTGATGTATTTATTAGTTCAGTTATGTAATTCTAACAAAAGTTAACCAAATTCTGAAATTTCTAAATTTAGGAAGCAACACCATTATTTTCCCTGTAATCTTATATTCAACCTCTTATCTCGAACTCACAGTTTCTCCCATGAACAAAAAGTTACAAATTAAGTGAGATAACAGACAGGTGTATCACGAACGCAGAATATTATTGAGATGGGAGGCTCGTGGCTTTTCCTCAGCAAGCTTCTGAGTGTGTAACATAAGCAGATTTCTCACACAGCCATGAGGAGGGCATGGTGCAGTCCTCAGTGCCAATTACCTGCTTATCCAGGTAGGCACATTGCCTCTGGAAATCCACACTTGGTTCTGGCAGACCCCTGAGTAATAAGAAAAAAAATTAATTAGTCATTCAGTGTGTACAAACTAAATGGTGTAACTTTAGAACTTTCTTCCATGAAATTCACTACACCAAGTGCTGTGGGGAATGCAAGACTACAAACACTTTCCTTCTCGTGTGTTTGTAGACAAAATATTGGATACATATAAGTAATAAGCCAATTATACAGAATGTGCTATTGATATATAACTAGGAAAAACGTACTTGTATAAAGAAGAAGCTTGATTGGCTGGGACATTTTAGCAATGACTTGTAAGGTGCAATAAATGACCTAAGACAAAAATTAAATTAGAGTACAAGCCAGCCTCATAGAAGGCACTTGGTGATCCATGCAAGGGTACAGATGAAAGAAGTATATTTTACTTATAAATATATTGCATCAAATATGAAAGCCAGCCAAACTTAATAATGAACTTTAGAATAGTGTGCGTGTGTGCATGTGTGTGTGTGTGTGTGTGTGTGTGTGTGTATGATGTCAGCACAGTCTACTGTGATACACACTTCAATGTAAAAAACCACCACTGAGGGAAATGTCACAGAGAAGACACTGTTAAGAATTCTGAATGAACTGAGTCCTTGACTGGAGTCTGATTCTAAAGAATGCTTGAGGTCAACATGAGCAAGACTAGCTCTCAGCATCTGCACAAAATGGGTTCCACTGTAGGGGAAAGGAAAGAAGCGACTGGAATTAATATGAGAAAAGGAAAAAATGGAAACAAAGTCTTTGTAGATAGGGAGGGAGGGAGGCATTGAAGGGAGGGCAGGGTCGTGGGGAAAAATAAGAATCAAAATGGACATGTAAAGGTACAAATTTCCAATGATGAACATCATTATATTGTACACCTTAAATGTATCAATAAAATTAATTAAAACAAAAGAAATGAAAAAACTGGTCTGTAGTACATTCTGAAACAGACCAAGTTTCTGCTCAATTATTAAGCACACAACATATTTCATTCCAAAGTGCCATGGGGATATGAAAAACAAAATTATGAACTATGAGTAATACAAATTGCTAAAATATTTTTATATATTCCTAGTTTATTGATTCCTGAGTGTTCTACATGCCAAGCATCACACAAGATTTGAAGAATAGGGGAGCTACCAACAGCAAAACTCCAAAAAGTGAAATGATTGCTGTGAGAGTAAGAGCAGACTCATAATTTCACACAATAGTACAAGCAAGTCCAGGAAGATATCCAAGTAGTTTATACAAAATATTTACACAAATTATGAAATACTTATATTAGATGTAAATTATATTAATATTAAAATTGTAGTATGTGCCATAAAATAAATATAAGTGAAACAAAAATGGTCATTGAAATAGTCATTGCACAATTTAGTTGATATAGATAAATATATACACAGAGAGAACTATGTCTGCTCATGAACACACACGTACAGAAGGTAACTTAGCTTTTCCCTTCACATCCCAAAATAAATTTCAGGTGAATAAAGACAATTTCATTCTACTTAAATGTTAAACATTCATCCACATTATAAAAGCAAAAAAGCTTAAAAGACAAATTAGTAAAGAAAAATGGCAAGGCATGTAAGAAAGAGAGATTGTATTTTAATACATAAAAAATTTATAACAAGAAATAAAAAATATGAAAAAGAGACAAATATTTTATGTCAGGATAAACACCAAAAGAATATGAAATAAAAGCACAAAATAAGAACAGTGAGCTATCAAAATTACCTAAACTTTGAAATATTATCTAACAGTGATAAAACAGATTGCTATGCTTTTTTCTATAATTGTTTAACACAGTGTTTCTGGAGGGCAATTTTTTTTAACTTTATTTTTCTGGTACCAGGGATCAAACTCAGGACCTTGCACTTGCCAGCAAGGTGCAGTACCACTGCGCTAAATCCCCAGCCCTGGAGGCAATTTAAACAATAACTCAGCTCAGGTCCCGAGTTTGATCCCCACTACAAAAAAAGAAAAAAATCCTACAATAACAGGAAAGTCGCCCACAGCAAGAATTGTCCCACCCATATGTCAGCAGTACCGATGGTAAGAAACCCTACTCTACATTTTGTTAAATTTATGATCAAAGAAGGAGACATGATGTTGTAGCATTCTTCCTGCTTTTCTCCTTTTTTAACTTTCAGGTAAGTTTTTAAAACTCCTACAGCCCTGTCTAATAATAAGAGAAACATCAGATAAATAAAACTTGAGAGACGCTCTACACAAAAAACTCCTGCTTTTGTAAAATATGATAAAAAACCAGAATAGACTCAAATTTCATAACACAAACCAAGGGAGACAGGATAACCCATGCTGTATATAAGGTCAAATTTTAGAGCAGAGATTTGAAAACAGAAAAAGAGCCTTAAAAATGATGCATTCCTAATAAATTTTGGAGAGAAAGAGAGACAAAAATCATCAAGGCTTGAAGTTTAGATGAAGTACACTCTATATTTATGCTATTTGAAAAGATAACACAATTGACATCAGCTGCGTCCTAAAGGAGACAAGGAACGAGTTGTTTTCAACCTGATAAAACTTCGGAGCTTTCTATTGAAATGCTCTACAGATAAATGCAGGGAATGATGTCCAAGCAATGCTCACATACTTTTACTCCACAATATTATACTAGTTTGCAGATAGATTTATTTACTTTTTAAAATTTATTTATTTTGGTGCCGAGGATCGAACTCGAGTTCTTGAGCTGGCGAGGCAGGCAGTGAAGCCACTGAGCTATATCTCCGGCCCTGAGAATGGATTTAAATGCCTCAGTAAGTCCTTTCCCAGTGTTCAGTGTCATGCCGATTCTGTCCAAAATGGACAGGGCCCTTTAAATTATCTCCTCCTTTCACCTCCTCTGTTTGAACAAAAATCACACATCCCTCTGTGACGACAGATGCACTAGGTGAAGCTCAAATATGAGTCACTCTCTCAGATCATCGCTGCTAGCTGAGAAGCACTGAAGCCTCTCGGGTGACAGGAGCATCTGCGCAGGAAGACTCGTCCGATACTGCAGCCCACGCGTGGGGCTCAGCACTGTCACCGGGACCGGACACCGGTGACGGCAGAAACCACACAGGGACGCAGGCATTGTGTCGCCAGGTGGACCCACAGCTGGAGCTCCAGGTGCGTCTGTTACCGGTGCCCGGTGTGAGTACTGCACACGGCACAGAGAAGGGAGCTGTCCGTTCAGAAAATCTAATCTTGAAGATAACAGTGCTGTCCGATTCGGGTTTAAATGTTCCCGTATCAGTGAATTATGTCCTCTAACTCTTCCAGGACTTAGCATTAATATAACTCACAGTTCTTTTGGCAAACATTCCATTGTATCTCTTGTGCTGACCAAGTGTGTTATTAGGGCAAATTCTGTCCCTACAATAACAAGGGTAAAGTTTGGGCAATTACATTTTTATTTGATCGATTACATATTTTTCTTATCTAAATGATACTACCTATATTTTATATAATATTATGTAGACTTTGCCTACTTATTGATAGAGCTCTCAGATTCCTGAAATATTTCTGCATAATCGTATTTCCTTTTGGAAACTTATCCCATGGAAAAATTATTCAATGTTACTAAATTAATATATTTATACACAAACATATAGGTAACTATTTTAAAGCATTTTATAAAAGATAATGATAGGTTTAAATTCCTGAAGAAAATACAATTTGTAAAGAGCAATTAATTTGATGGCTTACAAGCAACTGGAAAGAGTGATTTTTTTATACTTTTATGTAGTCAAAATTCTAATTTTCTTTTCTTATGAAAATATCTAGATGCTTAAAACAAACTTTTTAAGAAATTTGTGAGTAAAATAACTATTCCAAAAATAACTGACCACCTTTCTCTAAAAAAGAAAATTCCAATGTTGTGGTCATAACACAGGACTACTACCTAACCGATTCCAGCCCCAAATGTAAGGCCTTTATTTATGACACCACATTGGAAAAGGTAGCGAGAACTCTTTAGAAGCAGAGAAAACAAGTTGTTTGAGTATTTCAAAAATAATAGGAATTATAAGGATGACAATATCTAGAAAAACATATTTACAAAAAACAATGAAGAAAAATTTTTAATAATATTTCAATAATCTGCACTCTGTCCTTATATGATAAATGACTCAAAAATATTTCCTGGGTATTATTAGGCATATGGACAGTTTTTCAGGGACATATAAATGTATCATAAATCACAAAATTTACCCTTTCAAAATTAAAGTAAATAACATATATGGAGAACACCATGTAGGAGATGAGATCCCAATACCCATGTTTCTAAAGAAACATACAGGTAGCTGGTAATTCTAATAGGCAAAATATCTGAGGCAAAAATCTTCAGAAAAGAAAAGTAAAATTTCAGACATCACCAGTTAAGTGAAATAAAATATTTATTTCAATGATATGCCAAGAACTCAGGACAGAACCTGAAATTTTAGTTTAAAAACTGTTCGTTTCTTTATTTTTTTTTTAGCATTAAGTTTATTGGTACATTTTAAGTAAACAATATTGATAACATTCCTCATTGGGAATTTGTACCTTAAAATGACTTATCTTGGTTCTTATTTTTTCCCTGTTACCCTGCCCTCCTTTCAACCCCCACCACCCCTCCCTATTTACAAAGTCTTTGTATCCATTTTTTTCCTTTTCTCATATTTTTTTCCTTTCCCCCTCCTCTCCCACTTCCTCTCCTCCTTCCCCTTCCCCTTGGACCTTTACTTCCCATTTCGCATTACCTCTTATACATTTTGATCCTCATTTACACTTTCAGTTTCTCACCAGAGAAACTATTCGGTATGTACCCGTGTGTAAATGGGCATCTGAAATGAGCAGAGACTTCTCAGAAAAAGAAGTAGAAACAGCAAATAGATATATATGAAAAAATATTCAGCATCACTCATCATCCAAGAGATGCAAATGAAAACAATGCTGAGATTTCACCTCACCCTGGAAAGAATGGCTACTATGAAGAAATCAACCAGTAACAAGTGCTGGCAAGGTTGTGGGGAAAAAGGAACCCTGCTCTACTATTGGTGGGAGTGTAGACTGGGGAAACCACCGTGGAAATCAGTGTGAAGATTCCTCAAAAAACTAGGATTAGGAGTTCCATTTGACCCAGCTATTCCCCTACTAGGCATCTTCCCAAAAGAATTAAAAGCATCATTCCACAGTGATATGTGTGCACCCATGTTTATAGTGGCGCAGTTTGTAATAGTCTCTATATCATTTAGAATCATATCTACAAATTTCTCAGAGATGGATGAAAGATATCCAGCATATGCAGAAGTGAAGAAATGTCTTCCTTCCAAGAAGCACAAGCAAATGAATAGTGAGTGTTTTTCCTCCCTGACTCCTACTGAATCCTGATTATTTTCTGTTCTCTATGAAACAAATTCTCAAAAGAATTTCATGATAATTTAGTATGACTTGTGCCTACCTCATTTCTAAGACTCTGTGATCTAAAAGATTTCTATGACAGACTTTACAGAGAAACAAGAAAATATTTGCGTTGATCTCCTTTATTTGAAGGAAACCCTGTTGTGTTAGAACTCTTTACACATATCCAAAGCCCACATGCTTTCAGAGAAATAATGAATATGAAGCGCTATCCTCACCTTTGTTTACATCTCCAGACAAAAAACAGGAACCGATTTACTCAGAAGTGGGAGAATATCCTTCAAACTTCAACCAGATAAAGAAAAAAACTGAATCATCTGAAGAAAACAGTAAGGGTTATACAGATTTTCTGTCCTATGCTTTCTTAGCCTATGTGTATGAGATTAAATTAATGTAAATCAGAAACTACTGTGGCGAAAAGCTAGTTAGTTTGCCCCCTTTCATAAGATTGCTTGAACTACATCCAAAAATTGAAATGAAAACCTGAAAGCCAAACATTCAAGTTTAATATATCACAAAGAATATTGGTGTAGTTTAGGTTCTATATTTTATGCATATAGTCATAACTGATCAGATAGAAAAATTTTTAATTTCCATTTGTTTAGAAACAGTTGTAGGGCTGGGCATTTAGCTCAGTGGTTCCGCCACCTGCCTTGCGAAGTGCAAGGTCCCGAGTTCGATCCCTGACAAAAAATTTAAAACCCAATCTAGAAACAGTTGTGATCTCCAGTTGTGTGACACACACTCTATGAATTTTCATCAAACTTTGAATTTGACTGTCATGATCTGATATACATCTGGATTATCATTTCTTCTGTGTTTAAGTGTGGCCGTTATGATGACAAAGGTAGAGTGATTCCTAGGTGAAAATTGTGATTTGCATATACATATACAGGCAAAGGTGTTTATTATTATTGGCCAATAAAATGAATTTATACATTAGTATTTTAGAAAAATTTACTACTTAAAACTACTTAAAAATTTCTGTATGTCCAGAATTCTACTTTGCATTCTGGAAACACAGTGAAGGATCAGGGGATTTCATTGCTCTGAACGCAGTGACCTCCCTAGAGACGCATGCTAAGAACAGTGAGCAGAGTCAGGCACCTACCTCAGCTCAAGAGGGTTTCACTCCGGTCCGCATCTCTTTGCAGTGTGAACGCTCCCAGAAGGTAGGGCGTTGAACTCCCCTTCCAGAAGCTTCTTCCTCAAACCTGGCCCTGTAACTCGGTCTTCTGGGCCCTCTTTTCGTCTCGCTGCAGGGTTCTCAGTTCCCTTTGCCTGGCGCCTCACGGTAGTGATTCTTGCTGGCTCATGCTTCTTCCTCTTTTTGGCAACTGGAATTTTGGGTTTCCTAGGTAAGTTAAATTATCTCCTCACAAGGAATTATGTCACTGTGTCATGATTTATTTAGACATTCGATTGCATTTTCCCAAGCAGTCTTTCATTTGGTTTGCTGCTACACTGTTGTAAGTAATCCCAAAGTACCCATCGCAGGTACCTGATGGCAAAAGGAATTTTACAGAAAATGTATACAGTAAGTATACAATTACAGCAACAGACAAACTGCCATCCCCAAAGACAGGTAAATTATAAACTTAGTCTAAAAATGGGGGGAATGAACACTGAATATGAAGCTTAAAAACATCTTTTTTTTTTTTTTGCTATTTTACCTAATTCCATTTATCTGTTACCCATTAGTGTTTTACATGTTTTATAGCAGCATATTATAGAGCTGATTCCTTTGAAGTGTCATTAAGTTACTAATAACCTTCAATACTGAAAAGTTGAATATATACAATTATAATAGAATTTTCAAGTATCTACATAGATACATTTAGTATATCTATGTCTTGCAAAAATGCAATTTATCTTTTGTTTCTCTACACTAAATATGTATGTCTGAGAATTTGAAACCATGCTTAACAGATGAATCTCATTCTGTATACATTCTCTCTACATATGTAAGATTGTAACTTTTCTGATTTATTTCACTTCAAATTGTAGGCCAGAGATGCATCCATTTACCTAAAATGTCTCATTTGTCTTTCTTTATGGAAGAATAGTACTCCATTGCATATAGATACATTTTCTTTATCCAATTCACGTTTTGATGGCATATGCTTTTTCCAACATTTAGCTATTATAAACTGTGCCCCTTATATTCTGTTCCATTGACCCACAAGTCTATTTATTCACTAGTACCATGCTGTTTTTATCATGGTAGCTTTGTAGTATAACTTCAAATCAAGGATTGTGATGCCTCCTACCTTGCCCTTGATGCCCAGAGGTTTGTTTGGTGGGGGGGGTTGTTTTGTTTTGTTTGCTATTCTAGGTCTCTTCTGGTTCCGTATGAAATTTTAGAATTTTTTTCTCTAGTTTCATGAGGATCCTACTGGCATTTTTTATTGGGATTGCATTAAATCTGTACATCAGTTCTGGAAGTTTGGCCATTTTCACTATATTGGTTCCAGCTACCTAAGAAGGAGATGTCTTTGCATTTTCTGATATCATCTTCAATCTCTCTTTTTTAGAATACTGTAATTTTCAATATATAGGTCTTTCCCTTCCTTCATTAGCTTGACTTCTAAATATTTCATTTTTCTTGATGCTATTGTGCAAAGTACTATTTCTCTAATTTCTCTCTCAGTGACTTTGTTATTTTTGTACTGATCTTTGAGTGTTGACTTTGTATACTGCTGTTACATAAATTAGTTATTAATTATAGGAATCTTTTGGTGGAGTTTTGGGGGTCTTTTATAGAGAGTATTATGTCATCAGCAAATAATGATAATTTAACTTCTTTTTTCCTATCCACATTCCTTTTATTTCTTCCTCTGGTCTAATTGTCTTGGCTAATGTTTCCAGAACAACATTGACTAGGAATGGTGATAATGGACATCCTCATCTTGTTCCTGATTTTAGAGTTAAAGTTTTCGGTTTTTGACCATTTAGTATGAAGTTGGCTATTGGTTTGTAATAGTTCCCTTTTATAAGATTGAAATTAAGACTTTCTATTCCAAATTTTTAGGGCTTTAATCACAAATGAGTGTTGGACTTTGTCAAATGCTTTTGCTGTGTCTATTGAGATGATCATATGGTTTTTTGTTCTTGGTTCTCTTAATGTGGTGCATTACATTTATTGATTTGTGTATGTTGAACCATCCCTGAATCCCTGACATGAGTCTTACTTGGTCATGGGATATAATCTTTTTGAAGATTTACTGCACTTTATTTCCCTGTATCTTATTGAGGACTTTTGTGTCTATGTTCATTCGGGAGATTGGCCTGTAGTTTTCTTTTTTGGTTAGTCCTTCTCTGGTTTTGGTATCAGGACTATCCTTGCTTTCAGGAATTAGTTTAGAAGTATTGCTTTGCTTTCAAGTTCATTAACGAATTTGAAAAGTAACAACATTAGATCTTCTCTAAAGTTCTTGAAGAATTTAGCAGTGAATCTTTTAGTAATTGGGCATTTTTTTGTTGGTAGGGTTTTTATTATTGTTACTTTAATTTATTTGATTGATATTATATTATTTAAAATTTTTATATCTTCTTGATACCACCTTTGGTAATTCATATGTAGCTAGGAACCTGTCTTTTTCTTTGAATTTTCCATCTTATTAAAGTACAGGATCCCAAAGTAGGTGCTGATGATCTTCTGGATTTCTCCAGGATCGATTTTGATTTCACCTTTTTCATTCCTAGTTGCATGGACTTGGGTCTTTTTTTTTTCTTTGTTTTGATGAGCCTGCCTATTCTATTTAATCTTTCAAAGAATCAATTCTTGGATTCTCTGTACTGTTTTCTTTGTCTCAATTGCATGAATTTCTTGTCTCATCTTTTAAAAAACCATTCAGAAAATGAATTATGGCTTTAAATTTATCTTTATAATTTCAGTATGTTTGCACCACTGTCTAACCTTTTCCTAGTGATCAAATCATATTTTAAAATCTAGCTTGTGAAGTAAACTTTAAATGTTGAGGTTACAGGATTTAAACTGCAACCTCATACTTTAGCCTTCGTACAAAATACTTTTCCTTCATACATCCCTTAGCACAGTCCTTCTTCGATATTACTAACTTTGGACTATCCTAATGTGTCATTTCCTGCCCATTTGTGTAATTTGTAAGACTGGTTTCAGCAATCTAGCATTTTATAGTTTTATCCTTTCCACCTCCCCACTCCTTTTCCTTCCATAGGAAGAGCCCAGCCTTCCACCTACACTCAGTAGCGCAGTCTTACTTCTGGGTTCTAACAGCACCCGTGAATGGATCGCGTCACACACTGTGTCTGACAGCTGCCCATGTCACCAAGCAATGAGTGAGTTCTAGAGAACAGAGCTTTAGATTTCTCATTGCTCCATCATCGAGGTCCACTACAAAGCCTTCGCATTAATGTGGTTCATGATAAGTGAGGAGTGGGCATGGAAATCATATTCAAAAAAGAGATGCCTTAAAAAGTACTTGAGTAAAAACAATCCTTAATCCTGATGATTGGATACATATTCAAAGGAAAATGTGCCTTTTCTTCGGTCTCTTGTTTTGTTTTCCTCCTGCTAACCACATACAGTAAAGTTTTCCAGGGTCGTCTGACAGCCCAAGTCCCTAATTCTCCTCTGGAAAATGTAACACGAGAGGAAGAGTTCCATGACCGAAGCCTGGTGTTCACATCGAGTCCAGTCAACACAGGTGTGTAGGGAAGGAGTTGGGGCAGAGACCGATGAGCCTCTTCTCCGTTGCCCTCATCCACCTCTTCTCCTTCTCAATTCTTCTTACAGAAGAAATCAAGTAGTGCAACTTTCATTCTTATGCAGTTGAAACAATGTCAGAAACCCAGAAGATTAGAGTCTTCTGTGTGTGCATTATATTATTTCACATCATGGTTTCCAAAATCAACATTTTTGCTACCAGAACAATCAAGACTCCTTCATCATATTCTCTGTATTTTATCCTTTAACATGTAAACTAGGAAGTAAGTTGAGCTCTGCTCTTTAGCTAAAGCTGTGGTTCTGGAGAATATGAATAAACTCTACCCATTAGAGTATCCTTTCCATAAAGCTTGTGTTAGAAAACTTTCCTAAAAAATGTGAACAGTACTGTGCACAAACTTGGAGAGACATAATGAATGTGATACCATTCCTAGACCAAAGTTCTTTCCAAAAGGTAAAAATGGAGTGTATCCTCTCACAAAATATAATGATTTGAAGAGGACTAAAAATTATTTCTCTCTCTCTCAGGCCAACGTATTTCTCTCAGAATTCACCCTGAGTAATCTCTGAGGAAAGTCTTTTGTTTTCAAGGAGGCAAAAAGAGTGAATATGAAGTCCATTGGTCATGTTGTGGAGAGAGTTGTTATTATTTCTCACGGGAAAAGAAGAACTTTGAAGACAGCATGAAACTCTGCAAAAAAATGAATTCCACCCTTGTTAAGATAGAAGATGCACAGGAGCTGGTGATGTATATTTTGGTTGCATCTCACACCACATCTGTTTCACTTTTACCTGATGACTCTTATGCCTGATAACCTTCGAGTGTCTCAGCACTGTATGCGGTTGCAAGTGGGCACAGATACAATGGGGCCTAAAGGAAGTTAGAAACACACGTAGAAGTGAAATAAACACTTCAGTAATTCATCTCATCCATCCACAAGGAGGATAGTACGCCATCAGAACAAGTTATCTTTAAAATAGATCGTGTTCTGGCAATGAAAGTTGTGCAAAAGTGATCAAGATATGTAGCAAATGTTTCAATTTAGATATTATTACAGTAGAAGCCACACTGCCATTCTCCTCCCCCTGCTCCATACTCCTCTTCGCTTCAGACACACGTGTCTCATCTTTCTTGCTATGTTGTAAAGCAATCTGGGAGTCCTGTATCTTCAATGTATTCACGAGGTAGGATCAAGAGTAGGGTGAATGCTGAAGCTGCCGATGCCGAGGGCCGTTCACCGGAAAGGCAGACAGACTTGTGCAAACGTTACTGTGTGCCCTCATCCACCTTGTTCACACAAGCTGGTACCATGCAACTTCTGGCTCTCCCCCAAAGCCGGAAGGAACACAAACGTTAAGCATTTTGAATTAATTCAGAGCATCGCAGCAGCCATGACAGCACAACGAAGGACAGGAAAAGGTACTTTCAAAAGCGCTGCTTCAGTGAACGGCAAGTAGAGTGGTGTACGTGTGTCGGCAGCGAGGTGGGTATCGCGAGGGAGGTTAATGGCAAGGTGTCTTCACTGTCATAATTTTTAAAAAACACTGAAACAGTCACTGTATGTTTCAGTGACACCTTGTTTATCTCATACTGAGTGATTCATAGATATTTAGCAGCAGGGTGTCTGGGAAAAGTGTATTCTTCTAACAATATCAAGAGGGGGAAAGCAGCATATATTCTGAGTTTGAGAATAAATGAAAGGGGTTGGGGATTCAGCTCACTGGTGCCATGCCTGCCCGGGAAGCACAAGGTCCTGAGTTTGAATCCGGTTCTGAAGAGGGGGGGGGCAGAAAACGAAAAACTCCCAATGAATTTAAAATAAAAAATCAATTAATTCTACCTCAGGTTAACTTTGAACATGCAGTGCCTTACATAGGAAGTTGAATATTGTATATTAGTATATTTCATTACACTAATAATTGTGTCCTGCTTTGAAATGTTATTACCAATTCATAAAAATCATTGGCCAATATTCTTGCTAGAGGAGAAACAAATCCTAATGTTCTGAGTTAAGGATAATCTAATATTGTCTCAAAAATGGGCCAATCAACACAAAAAATCATGCCGTTTTCTGACCTACTCCAATTTTCCAAATCTTTGGCTTTCAATGACTCAGAAGCATCTTTTAAAGATGCTAGCAAAAAAAAATTTTTTTGAGGCCAGAAAAAGACATATGTAAACACTGAATTAATCTAGTAACTACTGCCATAGAAATGTAATTGCTGTTGATGGCACAAAGACATCAGACATTGTTTTAAAATTTAAAATTGGCTATGGAAATACAGTATATTAAAAAGTAGCCAAGTAGTGGCATGAATGTGAAATTTGTCCTTAATATAATAATGGCATTTTAACATATAAAGTACCTTATAATGTCCTTACATAAGAACCATAGGATTTATGTGAATAAAAACACAATTTCTGGTATTATTTATGCAACTATATGCACAACACCAGAATTAGTACAGAAAATTAGAAAAGAAGTAACATGTATTAGGCTATGAAACATTTTTTCTTTGGGAAGGGCTGTATATTCATACATACCCTTTTTATAGACATAGAACTTTAAAAAGATATTGTAGAAGTCTTTGAATGGAATAATTAATGGTGTGTCTTTGATGTAAGAGACCTTAGCCTGGGGTTTCATGGCTGTACAGTCTGAGAATGAGTTGCTGGGTCAGGATATCCTTTATCTGCAGAGAGTCTCTAGTGAAAAATAAATCATCTATGAAAATCCAGATTTTGAATGTCAGGTGTTATGTCTTGATACATATATGCATTTGTGGAGAATAGATTATCTAATATTTCATCAGCTTTTTAAAGGATTAGAAAATAAAAGAAGTAAATAAAAAATGGGCAGATGTGGAATCACAGCCAAAAAACTTTATTTTAAATGTCTTTTTCACTTTATTTGTGTGAATGAACCAAACAAAGTATCAGTTTCTACACTTGGAAAAAGTGAGGAGCAGATCATAAAAACAGGCAAAATTTTCTTCCCAACACATTTGCAAAGAGGAAAGGACATAATATGTGCAAAGCTTTGCGAAGACTAACATACAGTCACATGCTGAATAGTGAGATTTCTCCTATCAGTGATAGACAATGCCACAAAGGATCACATTGCCTAGTGGCTTCGTGGCAATCTTAGACTGGGGAGGTACCCTCTATGGTGTCCACACAATGATGAAACCACCTGATGGTGCATCTCTTGGAGCATGCTCCTGTCCTTGAGTGACACATAACTGGAGGAATATCAGTTATTTTCATATTTGTCATATAAGCATTCAGTCATCCAGGTAAACACCTCATCTGGTGGGGAAAAGATACATTCTCAAACGCCCGCCTCACAGACAATAAACAGAGTACCTGTGGAACAAAAATATTAAACAACATTGCTATAAATCTCATAGCTACCACATATGGACATGGAAATAAAAACCAGACTGCAAAAAGCTTGCTTTTGAGCCACAAGCATAAGTTTTAAGAGGTATTTAAGAAATTTCAGTTAAGTTTAAATACATGTGGCTAAACCAAAGATTACTTTAGGTTTTATTTATGCCTCTACACTTAAGAAAGTGTAAATAACTGGGATTTCATTATTTTATAACTTTAAGAGCATTTAAGTAAAGCTTTTTACACTACCTAATATTCACATTAAGTATAAAATAATAGCATTCATTTCAGGACTATAAATATGCTCTTACTTAAAGATAGTGCTGTATTTATTACAGAACTTTATTCAAAGCCAAATATCTTATTTCTGTTGGATTGGGTTGTCCCGTGAAGGAACCAGCAGACCCTGGACATGGGAAGATAAATCACAACCCTCTCTTGAAAGGTAAGTCTCTAAAATAGATAAGAGCTAATAAGTTCTAGAACTTCAACTTCTCATTTACACTCCTGAAAGCAGGAAAAATATGCACATTATACACACACACACACACACACACACACACACACACACACGAAGGCATAGGTTTGCACATTCATAAACATCCACATACTTCCAAAGGACGTGAGTGCAACTGTGGAAGTGAGTATATGCAGAAGGAAGCCTTTTTCACCTCTCATTCTATACTTAATTTCCTGAACAGGTTCTCCAGAGGACCAGTTAGGGAACTGAGGACTAGTCTCTGTAACAAAAGAAAACATACCAACCTACTTTGGGGGGTTACTATGTTTTATTATGTCTGCAGCATAGTGGATATATATTTTAAAGCATGTGTTTTCTTTTATTCTACTTTAAGTGATTGGAAAGAATCAGAGACTGGAAACTGTGGAAGTATAACACCCACAAGGATGAATGCTCTTGAATGTTCCAGATTAATAACCTATATTTGTGAGAAGAAAAATGTTTGTCTGGCTACTGTGCAATGAAGAACAATCACCTTTCCCAGACCCATGGATGCTTTTCATGGGCTGTACCTGCATTGTACCCACTGATTGAGAAACTTACTGGAATGAGGAGTTGTAGATCCACAGATTCCGCTCCTGTCACAAGAAGATGGCCTAACCACACCTTAGTGTAAGCTGGTGAAGTAAGAGACCGCTAGTACTTCCAGTGAGGGCCAACAGGCTCAGTTCTGCCACCCTGTCTGCATCGTACACAAACTTAGAGGTTTCTACAAACTTCCGGCAGTATCATGCACATTTGGTTAGGAAGCAATGTTAACAGTAAATGAAGTCATGACTCTATAGGAAGTGTTATGAATTATTCTATGAGTCACTACCTTTTAGGAGAAAGGCAGTAGGGTGTACTGGAGAGAATGGAACAGTATCCTGAACCAAGTGTAAATTTGCTACCTGTACCACATCCACTCTGCTCATCAGCAAATCCAAACTTTGGACTCTCGATTTCTTCATCAGTAAAAAATGTCCAGACTGTTTTCAGTAGTACTTGTGCCATTTTGGGTTCCTATTAGAATTATAGAAAAGTTCTATTTGCTCACATCCTTTTAAGATTTAGGGTTGTCCATCTGTAAAATCATTTCTAAGAATGTGCTATATTTGTAATTTAAATTTGTATTTTCCCTAGCAAACATCTTTGCTTGAGTTTTGGGTCAACCACACATCTACTAGGATAAAATATATATTTAAATCCATGCCAACATTTTATTGGGTTGTTTGTTGTCTTAATATTGAGTTATGGGGCTTCTTTATAGATTCTATGTACAAGGACTTATTATAATGTATAGGCAGTGAGTCATGTATGTATTACCAACAAAGAATGCTTATAACACTGAAGCAATTTTGGACCTAGAGAAGAATTATTAGTTTAGAGTTCCCAGCAATTGTACCTGGCTCCTGAAACTCAGCAGATAAGTTTGGTCCAAGATTTGATCTGAGCCCAACATGCAGGCCCAAAGCATGTAGTAATCATAGCAGTAAAAGAAAATACAGACCACATCAGGCACCAAATATTAGGACACCTCCTTCCAAAGAAATGCATCAATACCAGAGCAAGAAAGGATGCATAGTAAACACCAGAAACACATTATAACTAGACAAATACATTTTGACTTGAATAATGTTAAACAGATATAGTTTCTCTATGGTGCGGATTCAATACTCCTTTCAACAATTCATTGCCCATGTAAATTCTCAAGATTCAGGGGAAGTATGTGACTCTTACATTGAAAAGAATACCCAGGGGTCCAAAGAAAATGGGCAAGGAAAGCACACTTTACATTAGATGGCTTGGTGATGCCCTGAACATACTGTTTTCAAGCTGCATCCAGTTGAATCCTGGAAAAGATAATATATCAACCATCATATAGCAAATGAACAAAGTATTCATGGTCTTCTACTTGGATGCCAGATTTTTTTCATTCATTCAATTGCGAAAATATCTACTGAGACCCTGCTAAGTGCCAAGCACTCTTCACAGTGCTGGTTAAACATCACTGAACAAAATTGCTTTACACTCTAGCTGAGGAAGGCAAACCTTAAACCAGCGTTCAGAGACATACGCTATCCAGTTATTATTTTGGGTTATCCACAGACAGAGGCAGGACGAATGCTAACACGCGGCCAGTAGACCACACCTACATAGGAAGATGCTTTATGCAGTTTCCTAGACACTGTCATAGCTAGTAGTACAAAATGTAATCTTAAATTAGATTTTTTTCTTTGAAAGATAAGTGATTTCTCCCAACTTTCTCCTGCTGAGTACCTAACCAGTACCTGCTCCACTCCTCAGTCCCAATGCAGTGACAGAACACACATATGCTGACCACAGGAGGATGAAGCTCGCTTCCATTCCACAAAAAAGGGGGAGAATGAGCTGCAGACGGCTGGAAGGGAGGCAGCAAGGCTGGATCACCTTTATCTGTGCTCCCCTCCACTCTGTTCCTTAATATAAAAGACCTTTAACCGCCTGTGCACAGTGAGGTGGTGATTTGAGGCAGACGGAAATAGCATTTCTTCTCGGAAATAGCATTGATAAGTCTTTTTTTCACTTTACTAAAATAAATTACCTTATTTTATATGGTCAGCAGCTAATATCTTTTTATATCTTCTGTGGGCTTAGCAGATTATCTGCTTGCTTAGCCTTATTATCTGTTTTGTTGTCTCTCCTGATATCATTTTAAATAATTTGGGTGTGTGGCTTTTAGTTTCCTCCCCTTTCATGCACTATGGATCAGCTTTAGGGGAGTGGGAGGTTTGGGAAGCATTTTGTTGGCTTGTCTTCTCGTGTTTCTGTGTGTGTGTTTGTACCTGCGTGTGTGTGTGTGTGTGTGTGTGTGTGTGTGTGTGTGTGTATTGACGTTTGTGAGTTGACTATGGTGGAAAGCTTTGTTCTAGTAGTATAGAATCCTCTCTAATTACTGTCTACCTTTCAGTGATGTCCTCTGGGCATAACTAACTATTGGCCTTTGACTCTGTCCCAGGATCCAACTGCCTCCATCTACTTGAGATGGGAGGTTACAGAATATTTAACTCAGTACCCAATTTTTCAGGACTGGGCTAAAGTATGAAAACCAATTAATAACAACAGCTTTGTAATTTTGGCAATAATAATGAAATCAGCATCAATAATAGCATCAAATTCAAACTAAGTATTGACAAATTCTAAGGACCAATAAAGCGTACCCTTAACCATAGATATAATTATAGTATGAACATTATGACAAACCAGATATTGACCTACAGTAAATATCTACTAAAGCAAATTTATCTCCATTAACAATAGAATGATATTCAACAATAGCATAAAGTTAACTAGCTATCTAGAGATGCTTAAAGTTTAGTAGTTATACTAGTAAAAGTGGAGGTTTGGGGAACTAGAGAAAAAAAAGTTAAACTTGAGAAATTAATGGGAGTCAGCGTGGTGGTGCACGCCTGTAATCCCAGCACTTGGGAGGCTGAGGCAGGAGGATCGCTGTGAGTTCAAGACCAGCCTGGGCTACATAGTGAGACCTTGTCTCAAAAAACCAAAAAGAAAAGAAAAATTAATGAGGTATTAGGAGGAAGAGGAAAAGTGAGATAAAAGCTTCTTTTGAAGAATAAAAGGAAATTAATGGTAACAGGAAATAGTCACAGGAAAGAATAAATAAGAAAAAGAAGAAAAAAAGATAAACAGAATGCAAAAAATTGGAAATAAAAGAAAGATGAGAAGAAAGGAAAAGAGAGAAAATAAACTAAGAGAGAAAAAAACACAAGCCCTCAAAATCCTGATGAAGGAAAGAAAAATATTACAAAATAGAAAAGTAAAAAAATTGATGGAATCAAAGAAAAAATTCCTGTGTTTTTGAATGAGTGCCTTTCTTCCATGATCTGCAGCCTTGGGATCCAGCCGGTTACAGTTCAGGTAACACTGCACACAGGCACCATCTGCATGCTCGAAAGGAGTAGAGGTGCCCAGGGTATGGTGGCCGAGTAATTTTAAGTCAGCGGAAGCCCTTGAGATTGCTTTTCTTAGTTTGTTTGGATCATCTTATGCTCATGAGCAGATGTTTTCTGCTTGGAATTATATCAAATCTGATCAAAGAAACAGCTGTGTTGTTGCGTTTTTCTTTTTCTTTAAAGACAAAAGATGTTAATGAATGAGTTGTTTTTTTCTAAACTGAAATCTCAGTATTCAGGTATAATTGCAGTGCTGCTGCTTTGTGATAAATAAATTGGTTTGGGGTTGCAGTTTGGGCACTTGGTTACCATTTCTGATCAAGACGTTAAAACTCACCAATATTTGATATTGCTTAGTCAAAGTATATTCAAACCAATAGTAAAATAATAGCAAAAGTGAGTCCTAGATCACTTGCGATTTGAATATTACAATGCAAACCTATACTATCTGCAGAATTGAAAGTCAGTTATAAAGCATTCGAGATGAGGCTCTATAAAAATAAAACATAAAAATAGGCCCAGATACTTCCTGAGAGGTTAACAATATATATAGCCCAGCAGAGGGAGAGCAGTGACTGGAGTTGCTGGGGTAACTGAGCTGAAACCACACAGGAAGTCTCAGAACTGAGCTCAGTTACTGTTACCCCCACCTGCCCAGCACAGGGAACATTTCACAGTGCGATCAGGGTAATCTGACAACGCCCTCCCCTCCTTCCTCCCTTTCCTCCAAGGGTTAGTAACAGGAAATGTTTAATTTTAGAAATAATATTGATTCAGGATTTACATTGAAGTCCTTGGCTTACTTTAAATTGGGCCTTCTTGGTACGGATTCTCTCAGTGTGTTTATTCTAACAGTTGTCTGCATGAGAATGTGACATTATATTAGTGTAACTGATTATTAAAATGTGCCGGTGCCCAGATTTAGTTTTTTTAATTGTGAGGGGTGCTTTTTAGATTTTCAACAGTCTCTCATAGTCACAGAAATTTAACTTAGGTTTGATAATTTTGTGAGGCATTTACTTCGTTGGTTTTTGTGGATTTTTTTTTTTTTACTGCAAATAAGAAAATAACTGATTCATTTGATTATCATTGACTCTCTTCAGAAATTAATGTGGGCCAATTTTTTTCTTTTGTTTTTTGTTTCAGGGGAACAAATATTTCATGCTGTGATCTGAATTTTATTGTTTACCAGCTGAGTCAAATAAATATGTAGGGAATTCATGCTCCAAATACTGCTTTATAGGACTTGATTTCAGAGGGATTTTATTTTGTTTCAGTCCTGTGGTGGTTTTACATAATTACTTTAATCCTCAAAATACTAAATAATAAGACTGTTATCTTAATTTTTTAGATTAAAACTCTGAGACTTAGGGACATTCAGTTACTCACAAAAGGGCAAAGGATAAATGCACGTCTCTGCATTCATTCAGCATACCTTGGCACTGGCTTATACTTTCACAGGCAAAGAATAAGATACATTCTGTATGTGTTCTCATCCTGCTTTTCTGGATCAATAATAGAAAATGTTTTGCCAGATCTTGCAGCCAAAAAAATGGCCTTTCCACAAATTCACTTTATTCTTTACATTCAAGAAACATCACGCAGCCCAGTGGGGTGGTGCACACCTGTAATCCCAGCACTCGGGAGGCTGAGGCAGGAGGATCGCTGTGAGTTTGAGACCAGCCTGGGCTACATAGTGAGTTCCAGGTCAGTCTCAACTACGTAGTGAGATCCTGTCTCAAAAAAAAACAAACAAATAAACAAAAAAAAGTTAATAAACTTATACTATGTGTAGACATTGGTGCCTAAGCCTTTCAAACAATATTCAGTTGAATGTTGACTATGTATTTAAGTTACCTGAAATGAGAATTCAATAAGTAGTATACCCTATGTGTATATGTAGATATAAAATGTCAAGGTTAAAATATTTAGCTTAAAAGCTACAAGTTTGATTCTTACTCAAGCTTTTGGGCTAATACTGCATATGACA